AAACGCATCCATGCTTCTCTTGGTGATCAAAGAAATGTAAAAGCTTACATTGATGATATCCTAATATGGGGAAGCACACAAGCCGAGCATGACAAGGTTTTGATGGAGGTTCTGGAAAAGCTTGAAAAGGAAGGCATTACCTTGAATAAAGAGAAAACAGTCTTTTCACAGCCAAAAATTAAGTTCCTTGGCTTTGAACTGAGTGCTGATGGCATTTCTCTTGATCAGGACAGAGTTAAGGCTATTTCTGAGATGGAGCCTCCAACTGATGTGAAAGGTGTACAAAGATATCTTGGAATGATCAATTTTAGTGGAAGATATATTCCAAATAGGTCTGAGATTTTTAAGCCTATTCACGAGCTACTCAACAAAAATTATGAATGGATATGGGACAAACCACAACAAAAAGCTTTCTATACAATCAAAAATCTTCTTACCACGGCTCCTCACTTAGCTTTCTATGACTCTAATCTCCAAACAATGATTTCATCTGATGCATCATCATTTGGTATCGGCGGAGTATTGTTGCAACGAGAAAAAAGTGGCACATTCAAACCAGTAAGCTACATATCACGTTCTCTCACTGATGCAGAAAGAAGATATTCCAACATAGAACGAGAAGCTCTGGGAATCGCCTGGGCATGTGACAAGTTGAAAAGACTACATAGTTGGTAAGGACATAATAATCGAGACAGATCATAAACCACTTTTGAAGTATTTGACGTCAAAAAACTTAGATGAATTAACTCCACGTCTACAGAGAATAAGACTAAGAGGCGGTTTGGGAGCTCGGTATTAGCGCTAGTCCGCGACTAAAAACCGGATATTTCCGGTATTTAGGCTGCCGCCTAGAAAACGGGTTTGGGAGCTCGGGATCAGTTAGGCGCGCGCCTAACTTGTGCAGGGATAATCTCGCGCCTAAATATTGTTGGTTTGGGAGTCAAGTAGACTTAGGCGCCTAAGAGATAGTCTCGATGGGTTTGGGAGACCGATTTCGGGACTAAGTAATATATTTTCGTCATAAAAATTAGTGAGTTTAGTCCCCAACTTTAGTCCTGCCAGGGGGCAGGTCTAAGTCGACATCATGCCGGTGGTACCTCATTAGCAAGTTAATTGTTTACATATTAACAAAAAGAATGTTATATTGGAATTCGTTATTAAATTCCGAACAATTTCATTACTCTCAAAGTATATTTGATAAAAGTTTTTTTTTAAGGTTTCTGTTGTTCAAAATTAAAAAAATCTTGCAGAAATCTAAATTTAACGAAAGATTATTTGTTTTTTGTTTTTACTGTTAACTGCAATAAAAAAATGGACCCTAAATAGAATTTATTTCAACTGCGAGTTTGGTTATAAGCACCCGTACCTTAATAATAAATATTTTATGAGCTAAGAAAATATTAGTGACCGCATACATACCCCCCCCCCACTCACCCCCTACGAAAGAGTGAAGAGATAATAAACAAAACATAAAAAAACTGCAAATAGCTCACAGTCATAATCGATTTATTTTTATTACGTTGTGATTGAGCTCAGTTCAGTGTCATTGACCAAGTACTAGTTACATCAAAATGGAGTACTTAGATTATTTGGAGTATAAGAAAATATATACAGTATATCAATAACCCCACCACAGAAAACCTACACACTAAGCGAATATCCAATAACCTAATAGGACTTTCAATGCAATTTATTTTAATAGCTTTAGGTTTAACAAGTAACTAAAACTACCTACATGTAGGTATGCTGCTACAGGGAGGGCAATAAAGTGTGTTTTTACCAAAATATTAACAGCTTTATATAAAATAAATAAATTTGCCAAGTTTCATCAAAATATATCCATAAACTACCAAACTACAACAGTTAACTTATTCTCCATGAGAATCACTTTTAATCACATGGGAATTTTAAATTTACGATTTATTTGAATAATCTCTGTAGCCAATAACCGTACAAAACATTTTAAGATACTAATTTGTTTTTTATACTCTTTTAAATATTTTAAAGATAAAGATTTATGTTTTAGGGGTTAAAATTGAGAAAAATACTATTTTAATCCCATAAAACCCCGGGTTCCCATGGTCTGATCATGCTGGTTCACGAACTTATTAAGGTTTATCGCACCTTACACTTTCATGCCAAATTTGATCAAAATCAGAAAAAAATTACTCAAGTTGTCACGTTCATGGACGTAGATATAATATATTGGCTATACATAACAAACATTTGAACAAATAGTGTTTTTGGCCGGTATATCGGTGCCGGAACTAAGTGCTACCTACGGTAATAGCTACTTCCCTATAGGAAAATTTGATAAAAGAGTGTCATGTTTAAAATGTTGACAACAATTTTTTTGTAAGTATTAAAAGATATACCTACATTTGCTTCACACAATCATATCCTCCGCAATTACTTAAAATACTTTTTATTTTTTATTTCCGTCAATACCCATATATTATACAGGGCAATTGCTGTTTAATTTTGAAGCTTTTTATTGCATGAAACGGAGATTCAGATGTTACTGTTCCACTCACAGGGTAATCTTTGTTAATTTTTTTTTTATCTCTGAAAGAAATCATATTGATTTTCAGAAACCTATGTTGCTCTGTACGTATTTATAAGGTGTAGTACCATAGATAAAAAATAGCCGTCACTGAGATGTAAATCAACGATCTTACAAAACAACATTTTTGCAATGGTACAATGCAGAAACTTACACCATACTCTACTAATTAGCCACCGTCGATATACCAAGATATAATTGTATCCATCTTCAATTGTTCATCTTTTGTTGTTGTCAACGGTAACGTGCTCTGCAGTGGCTGTTGCCAACGTCAAAACCTGAATTCCCCGCGATTCCCTGTCCATCTAGCTGCGCTGCAACTTAGCCGCGACTATACTTGATCTAAGACCATTTCAACTTAGGCGCGAGCTCCCAAGCCTGGTTTTTGGTCCGGGGACTAAAGTTAGGCGCGTCCAACACTAGGCGCGTACTAGCTGGGCTCGAGCTCCCAAACCGCCCCTAAGAATGATGCGTTACTCATACAATCTTGTGTATACTCCCGGAAAACACCTAATAACAGCTGACTGTCTTTCACGTAACCCTCTAAAGGACACTGAAAACTATGACTTAGAGGAGGAACTCACTTACTACGTGAGACAAGTAATTTTCAATGTTCCAACTACTGATGAAAACATACAGAAAATCCTACATTGTCAAAGACAAGATCCAATTTGTATGAAATTACGGAACTTAATCATTGATGGCTGGCCAGAAAAATCTGAAATTCCAGATCAATTAAAGAAATTTTTCAACGTAAAGGAAGAACTTTCTGTTGCTGATGATCTTGTATTACGAGGAACAAGAATATATGTTCCAGAAGCATTGAGAGAAGAAATACTTAAACGAATCCATGTAGGACACTTAGGAGTAACAAAATGTAGACTCCGAGCCAGCAACAGTCTTTTGTGGCCAGGAATATCTCTTGAAATTGCAAAGATGGTTGAAAGCTGTCCACAATGTATTCAGCACAGGAAAAATAAAAACGAACCACTTATCCCAGCAGATTTCCCTTCAAGACCTTGGCAGATTGCAGCAATGGATCTTTTCAAGTTAAGTGGTCAGTGGTTCATCGTGTTAACAGATTGTTACTCACGATACTTTGAAATTGCAACCTTACGTTCTTTGACAAGTCATCAAGTCATTGAAAAATGTAAATCAGTATTTAGCCGTCATGGAATTCCAGAAGAAATCAGAACCGACAGCGGAACCCAATTCACCATGCGTCAAGGTTCAGAATTCCAGCAGTTTTCCAAAGACTACAATTTCAAGTTAAAGACAAGTAGCCCTCACTTCCATCAGAGTAATGGAGCTGCAGAGGCTGCAGTGAAGATAGCAAAGTGCATCCTAATGAAAAATAAAGAAGACCCTTACCTGGCACTCTTATCATACAGTAACACTCCAATATCGAACGGGTTTAGCCCTGCACATTTACTAATGGGACGACGTTTACGAGACAACCTACCAGTTTTGCCAGGACTCTAAACATAAAAGCCGGATTTGAGTGACTTGAAACAAAGGTAGAGGAATTATAGAGAAAAGTACAAGAGAAATTATGACTCCAGGCCTGGTGCCAAATCTCTTGGAAGTTTGAAATCTGGAGACAGCGTTTGGATATCTGACTTGGGAAAACCTGGAACGGTTGTAAAAACAGCAACTGAGCCACGATCATATATTGTCAGGACTGATACAAGACACCTAAGAAGAAACCATTTCCATCTTCTACCATTTCCCGATGACTTGAAAAGTACACCATCACGAGACAATGTGACAGAACAAAATTCAACAAGTGTCTGTACCAGAAGTCCAAAACCACGAGAGGACAACTCAAGTTACAAGACTAGACACGGGCGTCAAGTACATCCTCCAAGGAGACTCAATCTTTAAGGAGGGGGATGTTTCAAGACTGCAAATAAAACATGTGTTTTATTTAGGATATTATATTATGATCAGATGTAAACAAATATTGTTATTAGTGTTATAGACTTCTTACAAAAGACATGTTCAAATAAAATGTTATCAATTTAGTCCATTCCTAATTATTATTGTCACGAAAAGTATAGACGGTCGTGATACAGGGGGTATTTTTGGTTTACTACTTCGAATAAAGTTCAGAATCATTGAAAATTAGAATTTCATCCAGGATATGAATTCATTAAGATACACGTTGCTTGGAGCAGATTTTTGTTTGTTTGAGAATTATTCAGCAGCTGCAAGAGGTATACCCATCAAAGCTAGTAACCTGGTAAATTGGTAACTATTATTATTTCCTCCTTAGTTTGACATAAATAGTCCCTGTTTTGAAATCATTATTGCTTGGTTGTTTTCAATAAGGTTTGTTTTTTACAGCATGTTGTACATGTTAGTAAGTACCGTCTTCCCTATACACTATGCTTATTTTTGTACACCAGAAATGATTTAATGAATTAATACAAAGATGAAAATTTCCTCAAACATATTTAATCACCATTAAAGCTATGTTTAACATATTCAGATAAGTTCATTAATATTAATGGTCTCTTTCTTCAGGTGGTCTATATTCCAAATCCAGATGTTTAAAAATTGACTCTTCTGTAGGTGTGGACAGGACTTGGCCTTCGTCTACAATCTCCTTTCCCTGAAAGAAGCAATATCATAACTAAGCGATAAATTGCTCGGCTAAAGTTAATCGTGATGAGATATCTTATTCTTCTCACCCATAAATCCTCTAGTTTAGTTAACATAGATTTCCTGGTTACAAAGGAATAAGGGGTTCTGGCTACAGTTTAGTGTTATCTTACAGGGTGTCTAGTTTATTTCCATTATAAAATTCAAGACTAATTCCAGACTTTTCAAGACTAATTCCAGTTTTTTTAAGACTAGTTTTTTCAACAATTAGTGGGTGTTGATACCAAAATGTATCGATTCTCGATTCTTGATACTGATACCAATTTGTATAGCTTAACCAAATATTCTAAATAATACGACTACAACCCCTGTCTTTGTCATAAAGTAGTATTATGATAATGTGGTGTTTTCAAGTAAAAAAATAATACAGCAATAAAAAATTCTAACTAGCAAATTTGGTTTTTTTTATCATATAATCTTCCGCGTACCGTACGTTTAGACATCATCATTGACTGTAGCGGTTACAGAAACGTGATCATCGTCGTCCGCGAACATGGCAAAATCATGAACATTTCCGGCGGCCTTGTAGACAACAATGACATCATTGTTGTCTCCCGCGGTCTCAGAAACGTCATCGTCATTGTCCGCGATCGCAAAAAAACCTTGAACACTTCCCTCGGCTCTTTAGACATCACCGTCATCTCCCGCGGTCACGGAAACGTTATCGTCGACGTCCGCAATCACGGCAAAATCATGAACATTTCCCACAGCCGTGTACACATCATCGTCGTCTCCCGCGGTCACGGAAACGTCATCGTCGTCGTCCGCGATCGCGCCAAAATCATGAACATTTCCCGCGGCTGTTTGGACGTCACCGTCATCTCCCGCGGTCACGTAAACGTTATCGTCGTCGTCCGCGATCACGGCAAAATCATGAACATTTCCCGAGGCCGTGTAGACATCATTGTCGTCTCCCGCAGTCACGGAAACGTCATCACCGTCGTCCGCGATCGTGGCAAAATCATGAGAACGATTCCCTCGCCCGTGTAAACATCAACGTCATCTCCCGCGGTCACGGAAACGTCATCGTCAACTCCTGCGGTCACGGAAACGTCATCGTCGTCTCTCGTGGTCACGGAAACGTTATCGTCGTCTCCCGCGGTCACGGTAACGTCATCGTCGTCTCCCGCTGTAACAGAAACGTCATTGTCGTCTCTCGTGGTTTCGGAAACGTCATCGTCGTCGTCCACTATCGCGGCAAAATCGTGAACATTTCCCGAGGCCGTGTAGACATCATCATCATTGGCTTTCGCGGTTACGTAAACGCAAGACGACGATCGTGCCAAAATCATGAAAATTCCTGACTTTGAAATCAAATTTAAGATTAAATCCCGACTTTTCAAGACCATTTTGAAATTCAATACTAATTCCCGACTTTCCCGACTACTAGACACCCTGATCTTATTATGACACAACTAAAAGCACTGCATTTTCCCAATAATTAAATTTCAATTACATTTTTACCTAAGTATTTTTCTCCTATGTATATTATTATATTTTGTTTCAAACATTTAGAACGAAAATAAGTTGTATATTAAAGTGCGTCTTCAGACTAACCTGCCTCACAACGCCTGCACACAGTCTGTGTTCAGATAGATGCATATTCTTGGTCTGGGCTAGCAGTCTGATGGATCTGTTAAACAAAGCCGAGCCTGTGTAATGCATGATGGCACAAGCAGATTCTGTCTGTGGCACTACAAATATGTCCAATCTCCGGTGCTGGAAACATTTACTGACGTTAATAACATTGTTTCTAAACTAAATAAAATTGAAACAACACAAATTGTTTACCAAAAATAGTTAGAATTTTCATTTTCCTCAATTAATTGATTAAAGACATTCTCACACATAACCACAAGAACTTTTATTGAGCGGAGTGAGCGAAGCTCTTATACTACACTCCTGCTTTTGTTTTACAAATACTCCTCCTGAACGGCTGAAGCGATCTGCACAAAATTTAACACAGTCATAGTACCCAACTATGTATGGGAAGGTATAAAATCTGTAATGGTACAAATACTACAAATCAGACCATAGGAATTTTCCCTATATGAATGCAAACTTTTAGAAATTTAACATGGGCCTTGTGGGTTAATTGGTTGCCATGACATTATTTGCGAGTTAACACTAAAAAGTAAACAAGAGCCTCAACATATGTTAGTCAACACATCTACCACGGTATAAATACAGTACAAAAGAAAAAATCAGATGAATACTAAAGAGCATATTAGTCTATTGCATGTAATACGAATTGATTAACAATCAGTTCTATATTGAGTGTTAAAATCATACTGTTTATATTTAATTGTATAATTGTTCTGTTCTTTTTAACAACAATGAATAGTCAACTAATTAGGCCTTAGCCTATGTTGCATGGAGAAGGAGAAGATAAAACGAGGTCATAAAAAAAAAAAAACTATAACATAATTATACCAACAAAAATCACACCGCCCTTGATTTGCAAGTAAATGTGTAAAAAATGTAGCCTACTTATAGCTAAAAATACAAAATCATTTTACAAAAAGAAATCACAACCACTTGGTTTACAGGTAAGGTTTAAAACTAAATGGTGTAACTTATACAATAAAATCCCAAAGGATTAATACTAATATTGCTGTGTGCATTTTGACAAAAATTAATCACCAATTAAATTAGGCCTATATGCTCCTCTGTCAAATTCATGAGAAGATCTAACAACGCAGTTTAACCAAATGGGCCTACCGGTAGGCCTATTGTCTACCACCTCGCTTTACTGCGATACTAACTTACAAAATAGTTTTTAAATATTGCCATATAGTAGTCTAAAGTTAAGTTGGAAAAATATATACGTTCCAGCTACTAGGATAAATAAGGTTTCAAGTTAAGCAAACTGCTTATTTTGATGTTATTATAAATGTAATGTAACATACCGGTAAACCAATTCCTTAAGTTTTCACTTATTCTTTTTAGTCTACATAGTAGTCGTACTGATAAATTTTGTTGCACAAAAGGGAAATTTTGAAAGTGGTTGACAATATATTTCTTACTTTTAACTGCTAAAATAACACTAGACCTAAGTTATAGGCCTATACTTAAACGAATTGATAATTTTAAGAATCGATTAGCCTATCTCAATTATTTGCTGTTAGGAAATGATTACAAACAAAAAGTTAATGTAGCCTATTTAGAAAAAAATGCATTCTTATCACAAAATTAAATTATAAATTGCTCAGATAAAAAAAACTAATTAGTGAAGTTAAGAGAAAATCATATTCTAACAAAATCAGAAGTAAAATGTTAAGGCCGCCGAGGAGATTCGAACCTGGGATCTCACGATAGTCAGTCGGGTACTCTAGCCACTACACCACCAACGCTGTTTAAACAACGGTCGGCATCGACACGATATTTCAGTTCCGCAATCCCAGTAACTGGCGCGGCAACCAACAATGCTTTTAAACATGTGTTAAAACCCTCCGAGTGTTATGTGTCGGAAAAGCGACTCATAACACATCCGCTGTAGTGTTGTGTCGCTTTTGCGACTCACAAACACTGTTTACGGCGACGGCTCTGGGACTGACTGAATCGGATTGAACTAGATCGAGTTAGGTATAGTTTTTTTCAGCAGATTCAGAGCTTTCTCCTGATGTCTGTTTCTATACGCTTTTCATTTTAGTTCCGAATATATTGTAGCAGACAGCTGACGTGCGTGTTTGTAAACAGCTTGGTTAACCTCGCACCGATGACTGATGTGTTTTATTACGTTTATCATTGTTTTAGTGTTAAAAATCAAAAGTAGTGATATACGTGGTGCATTATAAGAAGATTTAAGTGATTTTGAAGGGCTGGTTGATGATCCTGAAGAAGTAGGTAGTGATATTGATGTAAATTATCAGCCAAATTCCTAGCTATGGTTAGGCTATGCATTCTTAGCTAAACGCTATGTATCGAAATCTGTTTTTTGCCCATAACTTATTTATTTGCAAACTTACTTCCTTATATTATTATATTTTTGGAATCCTCATTGAATTCTGAACAAAGTGGCTGTTTTAAAATATTTGTAGACCTATAAATTATAACAATTTATTGAGCGCAAACATTAATTTTGTTCATTTATTTTATAATTTTTGAGAAATGTTAACCCCACAAAAATTGTTGAACATTTATTTTGTGTTAAACAAAATGATATATAAAACAGTATACTTTACATGGTTTTTAAGTTTCTAAGATTCATTTTAATAAAACCCTGCGATTGCGCAATAAATGGGCGAACATTAAGACCAAAACTATAGACACTTGGAGGGTTAAAATATTTCCACGATCCCAGTGGCTAACCCCAACCCCTCACAACAATAATACTGGTAAACAGTTATTGAGGTAATTGAATTGGTGAGTTTTATGAATGTTCAATGCAAATAAGTCTTCTGTACAAATAATATTTTTTTTAATAATGAAGAAAAAAGACATTGAAGAAAAATAGAGCAAAGCAAATTCTACATACAAGAGGTAATAATAATATAATAATAATTGTTATTGCCTTTTAATAATACAGGTATCGCATAGGCCTGCCATGATTCATTTATTTGCAGTACATAAATTATTGAGCGGAGCGAAGCGAAGCTCTTATACTACACTCCTGCTTTTATTTTACAAATACTCCTCCTGAACGGCTGAAGCGATCTGCATGAAATTTAGCAGTCATACAGTCATAGTAACCAACAACCATATGCCATATGGGAAGGTATAAATCTGAAATGGTAATAATCGGACCACAGGACTTTTCCCTACGTGAATTTAAACTTTTAGAAATTTAACATGGGCCTTATGGGTTAGTTGGTTGCCATGGCATTATTTTCGAGATAACAATAAATACCCCCGCCGCGGCAAACCTGCAGACTAAGCGAATTTCCATTAGCCTGATAGGATTTACACTAAAATGCCTCCTTAAAAATATCATATTTATTCCCTATTTAAATAGAATTAGTTTAACGAGTACTTAGGTTTGCTGCAACAGGGAGGGTAAAAAGGTGTTTTTTTATGTTAATAGTTTAGTAAGAAATTAATGTATTTTCCAAATTCGATCAAAATATGTTCATAAACAAGCAAACTACAACAGTTTACTTATTCTCCATAAGAATAACATGGGGATTTTAAATTTACAGTTTTTTGGAATTTTCTCCGTAACCATTAGGCACACAATAACGCTTCAATATACTAAATTATTTGTTTTTTTATGCTCTACAAAATGGTGTGAAAATAAATTGTAAAATTTTGTGTTTTTAGGGTCAAAAATGGGAAAAACCTATTTTTACCCCATAAAACCCCCCATAAACCCCCGTTTCCATAGTCCGATCATGCTGGTTCGCGAACTCATTCAAATAAATGTAGGTTTACACGTTTGTACCAAATTTCATCAAAATCGGATTATTTTTGCTCGAGTTATCGTGCTAACGGACACATATATTTATATGAATTTGAACGGATGGTGTTTTTGGCCTCTAGGGACCTCAAAACGAAAAAATAAATCGGTCCCGGGTCCAGGTCTTACCATGAGTACTACGGTAATAGCTTATTCCCTATATGGGAAATTCGCTAAAAGGTAAACAAGAGTTGAAACTTATGTTAGTCAATGAATCGTCTGAAATAGCTGACTACAAACCGTACAGAGGAATAGGGAAGAACAATCAGATTAATAGCATTGAGCATAATTTACTACAAAATGAATAACCAATAATAAGGGTTGCCGGAATTAGGCTGAAGCACCATATTGCGTTTGGATACTGTAAATAACTTCTACAGTATTTTATGTGAGCAGGACGTGCCATTAATGTAGACTTTGAATATGTACTGCAATTCCTATTTGCAGTCTACAAATCGAAATTCCATTAATGTGAACCAAATATAACACTCATAGTTTCGATACTGCAATTAGACAATCCGTCTATGTGAACCAGACGTACCATTGACTTTAGAATCTGTAAATAGGCATTCCATTTATGCGAACCAAATATATCATTGACATTGAATTAATATGCTGGCTCCGCTCAATATTGCAAGCAGACAACTGCATTGTACACCTAGTATAAGGGCCATGCCACACCGCATCCGCCACGGGAGGCATTTGCGCCCGTTTTACCTCGAGCCATGTCACATCAAAAGTACTGCGTCCGCGGCGGGAGTTTTTAGGTTATTTCATTACAATTCGTTTTACATAAGAAACATATGTTACATATTTAGTTGCAATGTCATTTTTCTCGGTTTTTAAAAGTAGCAAATTGTTTTAGAAGCAATTGAATGTTTATTTATTTGTTAGTGTACATTAATAAGTGAATTGTAATTATTATTTTTGAAGTTTAGTCCTTATGTTCGAAGTGCAAACAATTTATATGGTTGAGGATAAATAATCCTCTTTCCCTTGTGTTTTGAACGTTATTTTTCTCTACACTACAAAGACTAATTACTTTTAAAATAATCAAATAAAATAAAAATGCCCCCGCCGCAGCAAACCTGCCGACTAAGCGAATTTCCATTTGTCTTAATTGATTTTCAATTAAATATATTTTAATAACATTAGGTTTAACGAGTACCTAGGTTTGCTGCTACAAGGAAACTAATAAAGTGTGTTTTTTTGTAAAATATTGATAGCCTAGTACAAAATAAATAAATTTGATCAAAATACAAAATATATCCATAAACAAGCAAACTACAACATTTTACAATATTCTCCATAATAACATGGGAAT